ATATATCAATCTGTATATAAATCAATCAAACATTTTCATACACAACAAAAATAGCTCCAAAATACAAAAATAAACGATATACTATTAAACCCCCTCACCTCCCAGTCCATAGACAGAGCAACACATAACTTTGTGATGAATAAAAACCCACAAGACAATAAAACCTGAATAACATTTAATTAAAATAAAAAAGGTGGGTCATTTCCAGATCATTGCCACAGACAGACACACTCGTGAGTTTGTGTTGAAACACAAACACAAACATTAGTATGTTCCCAGCGCCCCCTGCAGACCCCCTCGTTGGTTCAGATCTGGACCTGAGTCCTGTCCTTCATCAGGTTTCATTCATTTGGCCGCCGTGGTGTTGACCTAACTGTGGGTCGGGTCTATTTCCTGCAGCTCGCTGCTGCTTCAGCTGCACAGATAACGGGCTGCGGTCCGAAAGAATGATGGCCGGGTTATTAATCTTTATTTCACGGTTTTACGGCTATTTTAACAAGAGGGAGTAACTCAGGAGTTCTGCTCCATTACAGACAGATTTGTAGAGCAAATATTTGGGATTTCTGTCCTCCCCCCGGCGCACACAGGCCGTTAAACTGATACCATACATTCCAGGAGTTATTTTGAGATGACACAGCAATTTACTTTCCCTCAGCCCGCCTACTCCAGTTCTTCGTTATATTTCCTACATTTCCCAGAATGCCTTTGTACAGATTTGCTGTATATAAGCCATGGGGTAGAGAAATGCAGTCTGTTATACAAGGTAAGTGAGAGTGGAGTCGTTAATGAACAGGTTTAGATACGAGTAATGCGTCTTTTCCATCATTCTTACATTTAACCGGTTATCGATGAACAGCAAACATCCAGTGGGACATTATTTAAGATTAATATTTAGTTTATTGCTAGAATCTGATCAGATTTACTTTCCACATGCAAGGAATTTGCTTTGGTGCATACATAAACACAGTAAGAGAAATGATAATGAACAAGAAACACTGAATTATAGAAATATTATAAGAATGACTGTTTTTTGAAAATCAAAGTAATGTGTAAAAGAAATATAAATATAAAATAAATCAAATACACAATCAGTGTGTACAAAAAATAATGAAAGAATAAGAATTTAAAAAAAAGAAAGTGGCAGTATTGTGCAGAAATATAGGAGGAGGCGTATTGCTCAGTGGATGGAGCCTTGGTGTTGGGATCAGGTTCAAACCCCCCTGCAGTCAGCATGTCGTTGTGTCCCTGAGACGCTTCACCCCAAATTGCTCCTGTTGGGATTGTCCACAGTATTGTGTATGTTAGTCGCTTTGGATAAAAGTGTCTATCAAGTAACATGTAATGTAATGTAATGTGAAATATACTAAGAAATCATTTCCAGTTAATAATGATGTTTATTATCTCTGATGCAAATACAAACATAGGTTTCTTTAAACAATGTAAATGTGTCCCAGGTCTAATGTTAGAATATGTTATGTGATATAAAGTTACAATCATCACCTGTTTTGTGACTCAGCTGTTTACTCCCTTCTCTGTTTGTTGTGATGCAGCCGTTTGGAGAGNCCCCTCCACCTCCATGATGGTACGCCCCTACGACTTCTAACATCACCCCTCCACCTCCATGATGGTACGCCCCTACGACTTCTAACATCACTCCTCCACCTCCATGATGGTACGCCCCTACGACTTCTAACATCCCCCCTCCACCTCCATGATGGTACGCCCCTACGACTTCTAACATCACCCCTCCACCTCCATGATGGTACGCCCCTACGACTTCTAACATCCACCCCTCCACCTCCATGATGGTACGCCCCTACGACTTCTAACATCACCCCTCCACCTCCATGATGGTACGACCCTACATCACACTTCCTCGTCTGCAATACTACGACTCAAAAGCATCCAAAAATGCATCTCTTGTGATGTGAAACTTCTAAAAAGACACCCCTCGGCTCCAACATGGTACAACCCGGACTATCCCTCAGGTGTTAAAACCCCTCCGCCTCAGATTTATGTTTCCCAAAGTCTTGCTGGATATATTATCTTCTGTCTCCTAGAGATATTGTTTTAGTAACTGATCCTGGATCCAAGGGGTCGGGCTGAAAAACAAGTTGGAAGGTTTTTTCATCCAAAGTATTCTGCGAATCGCCTTTCCTTATATACAGATATTTGATTTGAACAGAAATAAGGGAATGAAACTGCTATACAAGAAAAATTAAAAGCTTTTGGATATTTCCTCTCAGCCGCTGCTTCCCATCAGTTTCGGCTCACATGAATGGATACTGCTTTAAGCACGTATACAATTATAGGACCTAATATTTGAATAATAGTGATAAATAAACCTGATTTACAGACGTCTCTTTCCCAATGTAAGTCAATGTTGGACTGACACTGAAGTTGTAGTACTAGTGTATGGCCACTGGGGACATTAAGGATTGGCTTTACCACACTCAGAGGTCATCATAGAGAGGTGAGAGATATAAGTAAAGAGATTTAAAAAACATGAAAAGCTCACGTCCCACCTCCACACGGGTGACCAATCACTGCGTTACAAACCGGACACAGTCTCCATCCTCGAAGTGAGCATGAAGGAAAGCTGCATTGAAGTGGTATCTGAAAGCCTTTAACCATGTGACCAGAGTTTTTCTGTCTGACTGCGGACAATGTGCACACAGAAGAAGAAAAAGACCTGTACTGTTTCAAAGTATGCTCATATGAACTTGACTTTAGCCGGACTAGGAGACTTCTGATGTGCGAGGAAAGTGCTTCGATGAGAGAAGTCAACTCACTCTAAAGTGCTTTGAAACTTTCCTTTTGACTTTGTTGTTATGAAGCAAACAGGAGGGCCGCTGTATATTATACATACAAGTCAATATTTAACACAAGTTGAAACTCTGAAGATTATCAGCAACGCTTTCTTCTTCAAACTCTCTTGTGGTTCATGGACGTTTGAGAAGACACCTGGAGAAATGATGTATGTTAATGATGTAACAGACTTGTACATAATAAAAGGAAACTAATGAATGATTGACAGCTTGACATTATGGTTTAAATGAATATTAAGGAAATGAACCATAAGAGCAAGCGGAGTGACTCTTTCTGATGGATCAGTAATCACATTTGTACTCAAGGTCCGACATATCAACACTTCAATCACCTCTGTTTTGTATATCTGAAGAAAAGTTAGAAATGGACACACTAAAAAGTCCAAACTGAAAGTGAGTTATTTGGTGCTTCATGTTGGAAATACAGTCTGGATTATGAGCAAAGACATTGAACGTCTGCACAACTTTTCACTATAATCCATTTGAAAGTTGTTGACATATTTCACTCGATTATGCTCCACAGAGAAGGCTGGATGAGCCACGAACTATAACAGATGTATCCTCTGAGGAGCATGAATGTTTGACACAACAGTCGTTGAGATGTTTAAGTCTGGAGCAAAGTGGTGGACCGCGCATCTAGCATGAATAAAAACTGCATGTCCCAGCTTCCTGTGCTCGTTTATCTTTCGCATGCTGTGAGTTGAATACCGTTTTGTTTAGACAACAGTCATAGGGGTTTATGAAACTTAAAAACGAAAGTGCATGATGGTTAAGGTGTGTGTGTGTGTGTGTGTGTGTGTGTGTGTGTGTGTGTGTGTGTGTGTGTGTGTGTGTGTGTGTGTGTGTGTGTGTGTGTGTGTGTGTGTGTGTGTGAGCAGCAGATATTCTGGTTATAAACGGTTTTTTTATCATGCAGCATTCTCCTTTAAAAAACACATGAATACAGTTTTTCAGAGAGAAGAATACTTTATGAAAATGCACTTTACGGAACAGCAGGCGATGGGGTTTAACAGATTCATCTACTCTCTTTGTTTCAGTGTATTGTTTGATGTTCTGTGTTTCAAGATACTGCAAAAAAACGCTAATAAATGTCACGTTTTCAGGCTTTTATTCACTCACTGAGTGTGAAGCGAAACATCCAACCAACTGTAAAGAGTCTGCAGCATGTTGTACAATAAAGTGTCTATCAATGTTAATAAATCCGCTTTCCAAAAGTGATTTCATAAAGATTACTGATGGTATTTTGCATGTGTTAAATTCATCTGTTTGACAGCTTTCATTAAATATACCTATGTTATTTGTGAGATGTATACATATTGTTATAAAACATACATTGTTAAATAAACTCAGAGGGCATTTATTCAAACTAAACCCCCAGAGAGAAGAAGTCATTTTTAAGAAAATATACTTAACCAATGCCAAACAATATAAAGAAACATGGAATAAATAACAAATAGCCAAACATAGAGATAGTCACGATAGACATAGAAAGAGACATGCAAACCAAAAATGTTGAATATGAACTAGACATTAATAAAAAACAACATGATCTACAAATTGATTTCTCGAAATTAGCTAAATAAACTACAAACACATATATTATTTTTTTTCAAGTCTCTTTAACATACATGTTTAGAAGATCAGCATGTTCTACATTCGTACTAAAACTTGTTAACGCATAAAAATATCAGTTATCAGATTAAATGGTTAATTAAGACATTTCCCATAGCTGTAAAAAGGACATTTCTGCACTTGATTTAAAAAAGCAGCGGAGATACAGGTTTGGAATTGTGAAGGAAAATAATATGCAGTCATCTAATCAGGATGATTCTGTTTTCATTATATAGTTTATTCACACTTGAACAACTACAAATAGTGATATTACTAATAGAGCCTGTGTGTAATAATGAAAACTGTTGCAAGCATTTCAACGGTGCAGTTCTCACTCCCCAGTGATGCTCTGCCTTCCTCTGGTGGCCACTCTGTGTAACTGCAACCTGTTTAATTACAGCAACGGTTTATGTTGCTATAAGAAACTAAAAATATGTGTGTAACTCCTGTGATGGAAAGTAACCAAATTAGAAGTAATATAAAATTCATATTTTTTATACTTATTCACCTGAATGAATGCAGTCGTATCTCACATGTCCATGACCTCACCTGCCCCTCTGACTTCGCGTTTCTCTGTCATTAATTCTGTCCCTCTGCGGCTCCAGTAGAGCTTCTCTTCCGGCAGAATAGGCTGTTTGTGTGTGAAGGTCGTGAGTCCAACCTGTGAGTATCTCTTAAAATGCTAATATTTATATATTTTCATCGATTTTAAATGATATTGTGTTTCTCTTTCAAATGAAAAAACATTCCTATATGTTACTATTTCTCCTAAATGTTGCCGTTTGGTTCTGTAAAGCAGTTCGCCGGTTTAGCTTACGTTAGCTCATCGTGCTGCTGTTAGCTCAATGCTAAATGCTAAACGACTTTCAATGATAAATGCTAACCGAAAGCTCGTCACTTATAATGGCTATACATTAGCTTAATGCTAACAGATTGTTCGTTACTCAAAATGACAGTTTCATATTAGTCAAGAATACATTTTAATAATAACGTTGGCTTGTTATGTTTGTTAAAGAGTTAACATGTCATAGTACCAAAACAGGAAGCCATTCTGACATTGTTACTTTGACCTTCTACTGTATATAGGTCTATACTTGCTATTTATTGTTCTTATTTGTATTATGTGTATACTTTATTCCACCTTTTTGAATATTGTAATACCTGAATACACTGCTGCTTTAACAAAAATAATCTATCTATAATGACCCTCACTATGCTACACCTGTTAGCTCTTCCTGCTAATAACTATTTACAAAACACATGTGTACTAGTCCTATAATAATATTGTATGTGCAGTGTTACACCTGGGTGTGAAACAGGGGTCATTTTCATGTAATCAAGTAACTCACAGAAAGAGAGAGATGTCACGTGATCAGTGCAGACATGACTTGGCAGCAGTGAGTGATGGCGACCTGCCTTCAGGGACACATATTTATATTCTCTAGGAAATGTGTCCTGTCCTTAAAATGTCTAAACAAAGAAAGAGTTGCATCCGAATTTGGAAAATAAGCTTCTTCTAGGTGAGTTGAGATTTATGACCTTCTGGCTTTTTGTTCTCTAAGTAATGTCACAAATACAATCCAATATCAGATTTGTATTGGCATTCTTAATACATTGTTGAATATGGAAAACAAGATTCAATGCTTTATCATCATGAGCTCAGCAGCTACAGTGTAGATATCGCAATGCACAACTGAAGTCCCAGGCTCCTCCAACAGAGTAACATGAATATATATATATATATATATACACCCATCCAGTCCCACTCCTCGTGCTGAAACCTACCAATCAGAGTATATATTACACAAATGGAATATGATATATTGGATAAATAATTTTAAAGATGCAAACAGATGAATGTTATGGATGCACTTTAAAGAGTCCAGGTGTTTCATAGTCTCACGGCCTGTGGGATGAAACTGTCTCTGAGTCTAGGTGACATTAGTGATGTGTCTGTTGCGAACGAGCCGATTCTTTTGAACGGCTCTTTGGTACGAACGAGGGGAACCGAGTCTTACTTGGTGAGAGCCGTTCTTTTTATCGTTCAATCGTTGGTCCGAACTCACTGCCTGCCAAAATCCACTCGCCTTTTTAAAAAGCTTGATTTTGTTCCCCAAACGTATTCTGTGAAGACCCGCTACTCTGATTAGTAGGTTTCAGCAGGAGGAGTGAGATGGGGTGGGTCTTAAGGGAAGACGCAAGAGAGAGAAGTCATAACAAGTGGTACAGGACAGGTAGACAACGCTTCTTTCAGATGGAAAATGAGCCAAACGCGAAAACGCAGCAGCACTTGGATGCACTTCAACCAAAACCCAGGCAGTGATGAAGCGCACCATTTGTAAAGGCAACATATCCTTTAAAGCAGGGTCAACTAATAATCTCCATCACCACTTAAAAACACAGTATCTAATTTTAAGAGTTGCGTGAATTTCATTCAAGGCAAGGCAACTTTATTTACTTAACACACACAGAGGGTAAATTCAAAGTAGTACATTCACTGACATGAATGACATGGATATGGCGCCACCTTGTGTCATGTTTACAATGCAGATTATTGACATTAGGTCTGGCAATACAGCCAATCATTATCCTGGTGATTATTTCGCAGATAAACCTAGTAGCCCCGCCCCTTTGAAAAAAACGGCTCTTTTGAAAGGAACGGAGCCATAAGATCCGGCTCCCTTCAAAGAGCCATCATTCCCATCACTAGATGACATTCACTGCAACTTGTGGAGCTTTGTATATTTAAAAAATGTCATATATGTTCATTACCATTTATTTCAATGTAGTCTTTGTGCCTTCTCCGTGCAGTGCATTGTCAGCTACGTCTACTTCAAACACTGCTTTTATTTATTTGTGTCTATTTTTAATAATGCCGCTAGAGATGCGAAGAAAATGCTGTTATACCTATGTAGGAGGACAGTAAATACATTCTGAATATGATTGTGAAATCATGGCAAGCATGAAGAGGCATTCACTGATGATGATGATGATGATGATGATGATGATGATGATGTCATACATGTGCAACACATCAGTTACACTTTGTTGTCATTGCACATGTGTTTATCCGTCACATGCCAGTCAGAAAACCGTCTCGTGACTTAAAGTTACATTGTGATTCTTGGGATTACTCGATATGTTTCTGCAGGTATCAGGATGAGTGCGTCCTTATTTCTTCACACCTCAGCACAGACCATGTTTATTTTTAAACTCATGCTGGGTATATCTCGTGGTCACTCCTTCCAAAACAATCCAAGATATTTGTACCAAGACCTTTTTTGTTTTTATATAAAAATACCATCTGCTAATATTTCATCATCAGGTTTTAAAAACTTCCAAATATTGATTTCAGTATCTGCCTTGAATATAAAGTCAGAGTGCACCAAACTTTTGACCAAATATCTTGTACTATTTCATTTGATTACCGATGCAAGGTGGAATATTGTATAAAGGAATGGTCTCAGTGTCTTTACTCTGCGTAAAACACACTATTATTCTTTCTATTTTAAATACACATTACCATATTGAGTAAGTACTTTTTCTTTTCTCTACAGGTGATCCATCATGTCTCTGCAAAAGCCACTGATGAGGGGTTTGCTGGCAAAGCGTCTGAGGTTTCACGTTCCCATCGCGTTCGCTCTGTCCATGCTGACTGCTGTGGGCTGGAAGGTGAGACAGAACCTTAACTCGACACTGATTTACACACAGAAGTTAGTCAGCATTAAACACTTCCTGTATCCTAGTGTTGGAGTCATGTGACCGTGCTGTAGTTCTTTATAGCCCAACATTAGCCTCCTTTAGCTTAGCGATGGTGACCTGAAGTCATGTGACCGTGCTGTAGTTCCTTCATAGCCAAACATTAGCCTCCTTTAGCTTAGCGGTGGTGACGTGAAGTCATGTGACCGTGCTGTAGTTCCTTTATAGCCCAACATTAGCCTCCTTTAGCTTAGCGGTGGTGACGTGAAGTCATGTGACCGTGCTGTAGTTCCTTTATAGCCCAACATTAGCCTCCTTTAGCTTAGCGGTGGTGACATGAAGTCATGTGACCGTGCTGTAGTTCTTTATAGCCCAACATTAGCTACTTACTTCAGAAATCCCAAAGTGTCTTAATATGTGGAGATTGTCCTGCTGAACTAAACGTGTAAGTATCATAAACGTTTGTTTGACACAGAGATTATTTTCTGAAATAATCCAACATCACATGGAGAACTCCCAGTGGCTTTTTATTGAGGGAACCAGGAAGATGCTAATTTAAGGATCAGCCTAAAAACATACGTCTCTGCCTCCTCTATTGACACGATGGAAGGAACAACATCAGCATCTTGACCCACTTACCCTTTAGCACACTAATGGCAGGAAAAGAACTAAATCTCATGGAGTCTAATCCGTCGTATCAATGAAACTCTGAGGACAGAATTTAGTAGTAGAAGTTTAATGCTAACAATTTATCTTTTCTGACTCTCTGCTCTTTTCGCAACCTTTTCTCTTCGTTGTCTCCCGGCAGTACGGAGTGACCGAGCCGAGGAAACAGGCGTACGCTGAATTCTACAAGCATTACGACGCCACCAAAGAGTTCACCGCTATGAGGGAGGCCGGCATCTTCGAGAGCGTGAGGCCCAAAGGAGAGTAAAACCATGTGAGCGTTTTATCAAGAAGATTAAAGTCTTGATGGATTTAGTAAACCCATCACAGTACCAGGAGCAGTGGATATCTTCTTTAACTTAGATATAACATTACGGGTTGTCAGAAACATAATAACTCTCAGTATTATCAGATGTTTGTCTCTAATTATTGCTTTCTGTTTTCTTCCTGCAGCGCTTCTCCCCGTCACTCTTTCCTGTTCTGAGGATGAAGTTCCTTCTTTGGATGTTATTTACTGACTTAGATGTGAACACCGCTATGCTGTCCTGTTCCTCTAAATAAAATATTCTATTAATGTGTAAAGTGTCTGTTTGTCTTCCGAACATTAGCATGTCTCATCTCTGTGGGCCCATTGCATTTGGCAGGCGGTACATTCCCACATACTCTGGGGTTGTCCTGTGTTTTAATCACTATTACTATTGCACAGAAGAGTGGGTTATACATCACACATATAAAGAATCAATACAAATATATGTTGTTGTCTTGACGCAATGAGGTAGAGTTGGAATACAAAGAGGTGTAAACGCACTTTGTGTAAGCACAGTAATTGAGTTAGTTCAACTTTCAATGATATCCGTCATTGAACCGACGGATTCTGGTTCTCGGACACGAGAAGAAGGCAAAATTACAACATTTACTTCAAGTCAAGAACACTGCTGCGTGTTTTTTGGGTCATTGTAAGTCAGTAGAGTCAGGAGGAATTCTTTGTTTCTGTTTTTAGTTAAAACATTTTTTTAAAGTGCAGTGCCTGTGCCATGCTGCTACATTTTCTATTCGAAGTCTACTAACATGTCCAAATCGCACATCTTGACACCAAACCAGTGTTCTTGTTCATGACATTTCTTTGTGCACGCTATTTTTCAGAACATTTTTATGTTATACTTTTAAAAGTGGTGGGAACAAAATGTGCCATTTCAAAAAGTGATGCCTATGCTGATGGGGATACTGGGAACAAAGGGTTAAGGGTAAGAGAAACCAGGAAGATACTTTTTTAATATTTTGGGGGAAACGGGGCTGATTGGATTTCCACGAGTGGTGATAGGATGACATGGTGACTCACACTCTTGTACACTTGGTGGCGGTAATGCACCTTAAAGTTGTTTGCGATCCGCCAATAAGCGAGAGAAGAAGAAGTCAAATGACCAATCAACATAATTCCACAACTAACAGCTTTGGGAGGAGAGGAAATGCTGTATGCTAAATAAATGCATCTCTGTGCGCGTTAGATGTCAGTCCCTCTGTTCCATCATACCTCCGTGGAGACTTTAATAGGCCAACAATCGACACAAGTCTGCAGCTTAAACTGAAAAACAAACCAAAGCAATCACCAGTTGGAATAATCGCACAAAAACATATTGACCAACACAAAAATAAAGTGTTTATCTTCACGGATGGCTCAAAAGACCCAGAGACCGAAACAGGCATTCTTTATCCCTCAATTTAGGCGTGTGGCGCAGTGGGTAGTGCGTTAGTGTTCGGATCTAGGGGTCACAGGTTCAAACCCCACTGCAGTCAGCATGTCGTTGTGTCCCTGAGACACACNAGTGGGTAGTGCGTTAGTGTTCGGATCTAGGGGTCACAGGTTCAAACCCCACTGCAGTCAGCATGTCGTTGTGTCCCTGAGACACTTCACCTCAAATTGCTCCTGTGGGGATTGCCCACAGCATTGAGTATGTAAGTCGCCTTGGATAAAAGCGTCTAACAAGTGACATGTAATGTGATGTGAAGGAGCAGTAAAAAAGAGACGCTCACATCAACTCAGTATTCACTGCAGAGTGAATATGCTGAACAAGTGTTGACTGTCATCAAACATTCAAATCAAGACTCCTAAAACAATTATTAGCAGACTACTCTAACTAACCAACACATGGGTATAGCTGCGGTTTTTCTCTTTTTCTTCTAATGGTTTTTGTTTTCTTTTTCTTTTTTAATCTTTATCCGGTCATTGTGTCTTTGAATTGACTTTAAAATTATCCTAATCATCAGTTTACTTAAAAGTAGGATGAGGAATGAAACGGTCTTGTTATCTGAACATGGACTTGTAGAAATTAAAAAAATATTTGTTATACTTTATTATTTTTATTTTCACCCTGGAAATGGGTGAATGTATATGTGTAGAAATGTATGTGTATGATGTATATAACTGTGTTTATCTGTGTGAGTATTTAATTATGGAATTATCTTGTTTTACTTTATCCTGCAACAGGATGACTAACGGGAGGGCGACCTCTGTATAAGCTGCTTTCTGCTCTCCCGCTTCGACTAATTTAGTTTGTTGTTTTGGATGTGTAAACTGTCTAATTGTGAAGTAGTAGAATAAATAATAAAACCCATTTTAAAAAACAACCCAGAGTTCTTGTAACACCTGACAGCCTAGCAGCTCTGTGAAGCTTGACATCTGGGAGGTCGGTATGCAGGCAAGATGTTGTCTACAAAATCTTGCACTTGCTAGTTGGGTTACAATCGTTACAATGTAGGATTTGACATCTCCTTCCTTTGGGTTCCTGCTCATGTTGGGGTGGAAGGGAATGAGGAAGTAGACAAATTAGCTAAACTATCGTTAAAAAGACAGTAAACAGACATACAAATACCATTAAGTAAAACAGGTTAAAAGTTAAAACCATTATTAATGTTAATGGTAACCGGAAACCGTCAAACATGTCAGAGGAAGTCTTTAAACTGCTGAAAAAATTCTTAAAAGCAACCGGAAGAATTGAGTAGTATTTTTTAAAAAAAAATCTTATTTGGTTATCAACACCTTTCATTTTTACGAATGCCTTTTTTTCCCGCTGCCAATCTACTGCTCCACACTCCAGTCCAGTAAGTGGCGGTAATGCGCCCATTCCTTGGTGGCCAACCGCGAATAAACCCCGTAGAAGAAGAATAGAGAAGAATCAGATGCGTCCTCCAGAAATCAACGAGGAAGTCGTTTTCAGGCGCGAATTTTGTATCCTTTGGATAAGCGTTACTGCATTTTCTGTATTTTCTTGGAACTTAACGCTACGGAAATGGCTGATCTCACCTTTCCCGTGTATTCGGCGGATGCCATAGTTAACTTCTTTCGAGTTGAAGTGTTGACCGGACAGGAGGCCAAACAATTCAGTAAGAGCGATCTTATCCCTGTTCCCAAGGTAATGCCCGTTTACTGTTATTACTGTGTGGGATGTATACTGTTGGTTATGTTATTCTATCCAATAATGACCGCCTTGCTGCACATTATCCAGCTTATTACACGGCCAGATACTAAACAAACTATCGACTCGACAGCCAATATTAATGGAAATTATTGTATTGACTGGGAAATGATCGTATTTGATCTGCGAAGAAAATAAACTCCGTTCAACTGCGCACCAACGGACCAACCGAATATTACTCAGAAAGTACACAGTAAAAATACTTGATTGTACTTGTGGTTCTAGTCCAAGTAGTACTGAGTCCAACAGTATCAATTTCACTAAGAATTTATGGCAAAAAAAATATTTTACCTCATCAAAGAGAGCAGAACACATGCATTATTTTAGGAGGGAAGTTTGACAGAGAATAATGAACCAGTGGCTGGTGACTGTGTTGACGTGGGCAGCAGATTGAGGCTGTGTCATATATTTATGAATTAATAAATGCCCACACCGGGTTGTATTTTGGACGTTCTGCCTCCTTGCTTGGTCAGGCCGCTCAATTGTAAGCGTCACAGAAACAATCATTGTTAAAGCAGAGCTGTGCGATTATGGCAAAAATCATAATCACGATTATTTGGGTCAATAATTGATATCACGATTATTAAAAACGATTATCCATTTACTTTGAAAACATCCATTTATTGAAAACATTTTTTTGAACCGTATGTTTTTAACTGTTGATTACTTAGCTTTAAGTATAATTCAACTGAAAAACCAATGAAATAAATAATTAAAAAAATATATAATCGTTTTATTTCGATTAAGTTGTTTTCATAATCGTTGCAAGCCAAAATCGTAATTGAGATTAAAATACGGTTAATTGAGCAGACCTAAACACAAATGACTTTGCACAGAACCAGGACCCTTGAACCCAGGAAGGGGACGTCTTTACACTGACAGTATGAACAGGAGCAACTATTACAGAAACCAATCACTGGCCTCTATGTTCAAACCCTAAAATAAGATAAGACTTAATTTATACCGAAGGAAATTGTTGTGCCAGAGTTACAAAGATACAATAAACACAGCAGCATAATACAACTGTACACTGACATTGCAGTAAAAAGAACAATTAAATAACTACAGGATAGACGGTCACATAATTAATGTAAATATTAACAGTATTTAGCATCTAAGTAACCAATCGGATCATTAACGTGTTGCTCTTCTCTCCCTTCAGCCCGAGTCCATTCAGACGCTCTACATGAGAGTTTTACACATGCTGTACCGCTTCAGACCCGAGTTGCACTGCATGGTAAGTGCTGCCATGCTATGGGATTAGTTTTGTATCATAAAGATAAAGCAACACTTTCTCAGAATAAAACAAAACTATGAGTTTAAAAGAAAAAAAACGAAGTCAAGCAAAATTAAATACATTTCAAAAATAAAACTATAAGTTGCAAACATCATTTGTGTAATCATGTAAACTATAAGTATTTTTTCTTTCTTTGAACATAGGTTTTTTTTTTTGCAGTTCTTGTTTCTTCTTTCTCAATGATCAGACTTTTGCTCTCTCTGCAGCTCTTCTCGTTTACGCTCCCTCATTTTTTGTTTAAGATTTTGACACAAACATTCCAGGTGGGCGGGACTTTCAGTGGTGCGTCCCCATTGGCTACTCATTTTTTGATTGACAGCCCACTACACCACAGATCATACAGTGCAACTCATGCAGCAAACTCCGGAGTCCACTCGGCCACGTTAGTGTTTGTGCCTGCTGGGGAGTTTCATGAACATATCGGACTTCTCTTATGGATTGCTGTGCATTATACTTGTGATGTGTAGTTTATACTTTATTCCAACTTTAAATATGTTAATACCTGAACACACTGCTGCTGTTAAATAATTTCCCAATTTGCGATTGATAAAGTGTCTGTCTGTTTATTTTAAAGATTAAAAAAACACATCTTTGTATTTTCAAGCTAAAGGTGATACACAATATAAACTGTATACTATTATTTTTCAAAGACATGTTACATTTCAAAAGCATATATTGCTATGTTTAGACAAACAATTAAAGACTGCTTTAATTTAACAAATTCTGCAATATAAAAGTGGCAGATTTGCTTTTTTAAACAGGGCTGCATACCAACACAATTAGGAACATGCTCACATCTCACTATGTTGGTCTAAAGAGCTGAAGCATTCATACACAATGGATCAAACCGGTGTTGTCTC